GGGGGGGCTCTGAGCACTCTGATGTGAAGGGGGGCTCTGAGCACTCTGATGTGAAGGGGGGGCTCTGAGCACTCTGATGTGAAGGGGGGGCTCTGAGCACTCTGATGTGAAGGGGGGGGCTCTTAGGACCCTGATGTATATGGGTTTAAAACATGCTATCTATAGATATGTATTATACAGACAGTTAACATACCACATAGATCTAGCAGAATTTTGGCTGTAATAGGGATTTCCAAAATAACACAGAAAATTTGTTCCATTTTTCACTTCCCGGTTTTATCTCCGTTACTCCTAAATGTCTTCGTACAATGAAGAGAGATTTCTTTTCCCCGATAAAATGTCTGTTTTGTCCTTAAAACATTGTTAAAGTTCAGATGAATGTTATGGGGAATACGAACGTTATTAGCAGTCAAGCCGATGCATTGCTGAGCACAAATGACTCCGACCCCCGGAGGGGATACAATGTAATTCCGTTTATTTCTTCTGTAACTTATCTGGTATGAATGCAAAATAATTACAATGCTGTCACCGGCCGAGCTGCTTATCTTATATGTGTACGGCACAGCTGAGGACGTTACATAAGGGGATGTCATCTCGAATTGCCATCAGTAAATGGGGCTGTTAACAAACACTTCAATCAGATTGTACAATCTCTTTTAGATTTGCCTAGGTAGGGCGAGGACCCGCCTGACTGGTTAGTAATTTAATGGATTATTAAATATAAAGTTGACTGTACAGAGATTGTGAAGTGTGTACACACCTGTTTTTATGATGCCTCATGTGTCCCCGCCCACGCAGAGCCAGGTTTTGAAATGCCCAAATATGGCCATAGACGGCAGTGAACTGTTGGATGTGAATGCACAAGTGTCTTGCCGAGGACTTTTAGGCCAGTCACTCCACCAAAGAGAAATGCTTGTGTGTGCGAGAATAGCAGTACTTGAGGTATATATACACTATATGTTACCAAAAGTATTGGGACGCCTTTACATGCACATGAGCTTTAATGGCATCCCAGTCTTAGTCTGTAGGGTTCAGTATTGAGTTGGCTCCGCCCTTTGCCGCTATAACAGCTCCGCCTCTTCTGGGAAGGCGTCCACAAGGTTTAGGGGTGTGTCTATGGGAATGTTGGACCATTTGTGAGGTCAGGTACTGATGTTGGGGGAGGGGCTCGCAGTCTCCGCTCTAATTCATCCCAAAGGTGTTCTATGGGGTTGAGGTCAGGACTCTGTGCGGCCAGTCACGTTCCTCCACCCCAAACTCCCCCATCCATGTCTTTATGGACCTTGCTTTGTGCACTGGTGCGCAGTCATGTTGGAACAGGAAGGGGCCGTCCCCAAACTGTTCCCACAAAGTTGGGAGCATGAAATTGTCCAAAATGTCTTGGTGTGCTGATGCCTTAAGAGTTCCCTTCACTGGAACTAAGGGGCCAAGCCCAACCCCCGAAAAACAACCCCACACCATAATCCCCCCTCCACCAAACTTTACACTTGGTACAATGCAGTCAGGCAAGTACCGTTCTCCTGGCAACCGCCAAACCCAGACACGTCCATCGGATTGCCAGACAGAGAAGCGTGATTGGTCACTCCAGAGAACACGTCTCCACTTCTCTAGAGTCCAGTGGCGGCGTGCTTTACACCACGGCATCCCACGCTTTGCATTGCACTTGGTGATGTGCGGCTTGGATGCAGCTGCTCGGCCATGGAAACCCATTCCATGAAGCTCTCTACGCACTGTTGTTGTGCCAATCTGAAGGCCACATGGAGTTTGGAGGTCTGTAACTATTGACTCGGCAGACAGTTGGCGACTCCTGCGCACTGTGCGCTTCAGCATGCGCTGACCCCGCTCTGTCACGTTACGTGGCCTACCACTTCCTGGCTGAGTTGCTGTTGTTCCCAGTTGCTTCCACTTTGTTATAATACCAGTAACAGGTGACCGCGGAATATTTAGTAGCCAGGAAATGTCACGGAACACCTGAATCCAATGATTTGGAGGGGGAGGGGCACAATACTTTTGGCAATATAGTGTATATATATATACACAGTCACACCAATTTCTTTTTAAGTTTTGGATAGAGCAGAGAATTTAAAATGGCTGCTGTCACCCGTTCAAGTTCATGATCGGGTGACAGCGGCTGCATTTGAAAGTGGTAGTCTGTCGGTAGTCTGTCGGCAATCCACATGTAATTGTATGTGATATGATTATATGCGGTTAGGAATAGATCACTATCCTTGGATGCATCTACTGTGCGTGCAGCAATCTCAGAACGCATCTTAACACTAGTAGAGAATGAAGCCTAAAGTGTACAGTGTCTGGAGACGAGACTGGCGGCTTCTACAAACCAAACGGATTCCATGGCCACTTTGGACTTCGGCTGATTAGAGAGAGTGTGAAACTGAAGCCGAACACTGGAGTGTTATTATCCAAATACAAGTATATTCCAATGAAAGGTCAGCTGGCAATGTTATATATGACGAGCAATGCGTTTCAGGGACCAGGCCTTTATTCCCTTCATCAGGGCTAAAATGAATACAAAGTATATAAAAAAACAATGTGTTATACCATCTACAATGTGATCAAACACAAAAAGAAGAATATTAATAAGAAGAATAATATGTGCTGGTGATATACCCATTAGTGCGAATTATGAGAGAAGATAGGAGGATATAGAAAAAATCAATGTATATCAATAGATAGATAATAGATTGATTGATTGATTGATTGATGAACTTGTAAAATAATCCCAGAGTTCCACCTTAAAGGAGAACTATGAGGGGGGGGGGGGGGGCTTTTCCCTCCCCTCATAGTTCGAGGTGACCTATGACAATGAGACTGTCACAGGTCGGCTCAATAGATCGGGAATGAGCGAACACATACAGGCGCTCGCTCACTTCTGGATCCTGTCCCTGCAGAGAGCCGTGACCGTCACGCATGGCTCCCTGCAGGGATTCCCCCTCCCCCCTCCGATCCTCCAGAGCTAAGTGGAGGAACAGGCGGCGGAGGGGGCGGGTACAGCTGGCTCTGCCTCTAGATAGCTGCCACTCAGGCAGCTGGGCGGATCCAGACAGTGATGTCAGGATCCGTCCCAGCTGCGGCGGTCTCAGAATACCGCGAGCTGTAGCCTCCCTATATACTGAGCCTAGGGTGGCGGGAGGACGCTAGTTTATATGCTCCCGTGACCCTGAGGAGAACTATGGGGGGAAAAGACTGGCCCCATAGTTCTCCTTTAATCTCTAGCAGAAAACGGAGAAGCTTGCTGTACCT